TGAGGCGCGACGACAGGAAGAGCACAGGTCGGCCCTCCAGGCTGGGCCGCTTCCCTGCCGCCCCAGCACCTAGAGGAAGAGGGCAGGGGTGATCGCGCCCCGTTTCCAGAGGGGGAAACTGAGGCACGGGATGTTGGGAAGCCGCCAGGCCAAGGCCACGGGCACGGGCAGGTCTCTGCCCCTCCAGAGTGGGGGGGTTCAGGGTCCTTCTCTGCCCCGCTTTCAGGCAGCTCTGCCACCAGCCAGCGGGGTCACTGACCTTGCGCCCCAAGCGGCCTTGAGGGTTGGTGGAGGCAGACTTGGGGGTAGGAGCAGACTGGGGGCGCTATGGCGACAGGCACACGGGGAGGGACACGGGAGCACTGAGGGGGCACTGAGGGCGGCACTCAGCCTTTCAGAAGCGGCTGGAGCCGGCCTACCAGGTGAGCAAGGGCCACAAAATCCGGCTGAGCGTGGAGCTGGCCGACCCGGAAGCCGAGGTCAAGTGGCTCAAGAATGGCCAGGAGATCCAGATGAGCGGCAGGTGCGCTGCGGGATGGCAAAGGCGGCCTCACTGCCCTCTGTCCCGGGGGCGGGGTCCAAAGCCCCACTCAGGGCGCAGGGCTGGGGATGTGGCTCAGCTACAGCACCTGCCTGGCAAGCGAGAGTCCTCCGTCCCTCCCCCAAAGACCCATTTTAAACTGGATGTGGTTGCGCACACCTGTGAGCCCAGCACTCAGGAGGCTAAGGCAGATGGATTGCTATGAGTTCAAGGCCAGCCTGGGCTACGCAGTGAAAATTTGTCTCAACCGTCCCCACCAAAAAATGACAAAATGATGGTGAAAACCCATCTCTCTGACCCTGCCTGTCTCTGCTCTCCCCCTGTCTGCCGGTGTCACTTCCTCCCACGGGGAACCTTCTGTTCCACAGCAAGTAAGTCCCCTCCTGCACGGCTGGGGAGGGTGCAGGGCTCAAAAACCCAGGCCAGGGGCATCCACGGCCCCCTGACTGGAGCACCCCCCACCCCCGCACCCGCCCAGGTACATCTTTGAGTCAGTCGGCGCTAAGCGCACCCTGACCATCACCCAGTGCTCGCTGGCGGACGACGCAGCCTACCAGTGCGTGGTGGGCAGCGAGAAGTGCAGCACGGAGCTCTTCGTCAAAGGTGGGTGGGGCCGTGCCTGTCGGCCCAGCATCCTGGGAGGCTGAGGCAGGAGCATCCCAAGCTCAAGTCCAGCCTGGGCAGTTTGGCATGTCAGCAGCTTGGCGAGACCGGCCTCAAAATAAATAAGCAAACAAAAGGCCCGTGGGCGATCACCCCTCCCACTGTCCCCACTGCACAGAACCCCCCGTGCTGGTCACGCGCCCCCTGGAAGACCAGCTGGTGACAGTGGGCCAGCGCGTGGAGTTCGAGTGCGAGGTGTCGGAGGAGGGGGCGCAGGTGAAATGGTGAGCGCGGGTGGGCGCGGGGCTGCAGGGTGCGACACCGGCGGAGGAGGAGGAGAAAGAGGAGGCCGTGTCCTCCTCGCTGCCGCTTCCCAGGCTGAAGGACGGCGTGGAGCTGACCCGGGAGGAGACCTTCAAATACCGGTTCAAGAAGGATGGGCGGAGGCACTGCCTGATCATCCACGAAGCCGCGCTGGCCGACGCCGGGTTCTACGCGCTGCACACCAGCGGGGGCCGCAC